AAGCAAGTAATCCCAGTGTAGGTCCCACAACTCGCTGTTGCTCGAATATTCTTAGTGAATGCATAGTAAACAAAAAAGTCGTTTATAAAACATTGAGATCTTTCAAAAGCTCTACTTCTATTCCTTTCGATGGCATTCCTCAAATTGTGTACAGACACTGCGCCGCCTCTCTATGCACTCCGATCTGTATGATACTCAATGCATCTCTCATGTTCAGTGAAGTACCGCTGAGCTGGAAGGAGTCCATCATTACTGCTATCCCAAAGACACCTGAGCCAAAGCTTGTCTCATCCTTCCGCCCTATTAGCATCACTGCGCCGCCGGCCAAAGCCCTTGAGAAGATATTACGTGGGAGAATCGTGAAAGCATATTACTAAGTACAACCTAATTCCCCGAGCCGTTACGATTCATTAGGCGTGCATCACACAAGCACTCTTTATGGCAGACGTATGATTTTGATTGGACTCTTGCTATCAACGATGGAAAGGGCGTTGACATAATCTATTTTGATTTGTCCAAAGCTTTTGACAAAGTGAATCATGAAAAACTTCTTCAGAAACTGCGGCATTTAGGGATCGAAGGCTCCATCCTCAGCTGGATCCGTTCCTATCTGGAAGATAGACATATGTGTGTAAGGGTGGGTAACAGTTTCTCGCGGAGCTACCCTTGTAGTAGTGGAGTTCCACAAGGAGGTGTCTTGTCACCTCTGTTGTTTTTGGCCTACACCTACGACCTACCTGCGTACCTCAATACCCACCCACTTGTAAAAACCAAGATGTATGCTGACGACATCAAAAATTTACGGTGGCGGGACGCGGAGGGTGTTGGGGGGGGGGGTGCGGGGCGGGCGGTGCAGGGCGGGGGTTAGTGGGGGGCGGGTGGGCGTGGGTCGATGGCTGTATGACAATGATAATTATGAATGCGTGCACCAAGCGTTGACTCAATCTGTATGCAACATGATGGAATGGGCTACCGCTTGGGGTATACCTGTAAATTTTACGAAAACATGTGTACTTCATTTGGGAAAACCAGGCATGCACCATACACCGTCAACGGTATTTCTCTCAGTACTTCAAATGAAGTTCGAGACCTTGGTTTTCTCATAAATTCTGATCTCGATTTTTCACATCATATTGATGCTGTTGTCAGGAAGGCTTTCGCCGCTCTCTTTGTAATATTCAGAAACATTCGACTAAATGATCCCTCGGTTCTGTTGAAGCTCTATAAAGCATACGTGGTCCCCATACTTGAGTATGGCTCGCAGATATGGAGCCCTCATTCCAAAAAATTTCAGGCAAAAGTTGAGAAGGTCCAGCAAACTTTCACTAGAATTTTAATTGTGCGAATCATCCCAACCCGACATATCCGCGAGGTTTACCCAGCTATAAGGAACGCCTCAAGCTTTTCAACCTTAAGTCATTACTATATAGACGAATGTTCAATGATATTTTGTTCTGCTTTAAGTTACTGAAAGGAGATTAAGATTGACGCCTAGTAAGTATTGGACTTTTAGACCAAGTAGGGGCCGCATTTCTTCACTGTCATTACAATGTCCTAACTTAGGCAGGACTCAGCGATCCAAAGTTTTCAATTCACTTTTTTTCCGTGGAGCAAGGTGGCTTCAGTCGCTGCCATCAGAGCTGCAGAAGGCGTCAAGTACCTTGGTTTTCAAGAGGAAACTTAAGGAAGTTGACATACCGACTATTGTGGGCATTCAAGATTTTTGAAAGTTTAGGGTCTGGACGGTCTCCGCTTGTGAGTATTTGTGTTGCCAAAGTTTATTGATGTTCTGGTTATTTTTCTTTGTGTCGATTTGTTTTGTAACTTATCTGTTTCGCTCATAATGTAGCGCACCCGTGTGTGCATGATAAATAAATAAATAAATAAATAAATAAATAACCCTAGTATCGACCAGCAATGGCCGTTAGCGCTCTGGGAGAGTCTGGAATGATAGGAGAGCACCAGATTAATAGAAGGCAGTCAATGTACCCTACTTCCCATGGTTTTTTTCTCATGTCATAAACGCAAGCGCCAGCGCACATTTCGATTTCCTCCGCCCTCTGCTGAAGCATTCCGTTGTGACATTGAAGCGCACCTTGCCGTCCCCCCCCCAGCGCATCATCGCGAAGCCTGACCGCTGCCTTACACAGAAGTCTCCTTCCATTCCAAATGAGAGGTAGTACAAAATGACACCAGGCTATCACAAACCGGTGAAAGAAAACACACATGTCTTCCAAAACAATAAAGTACATTACCTCACGATCATTAGAATGATGTTCGTTCTTGCGACTATCTCTTGAACTCCTTTCATGACGTTTGTCACTATCTTCTGCTCTTTCTGAGCTATGCTTCGATTTTTCGTCTTTTGTGACCTTGTCTTCATCATCCTTGTCCCGCTTGTCACCTTTTCGTTCCTAAAATCGAAGTGGTTGGTACGACTGGATCAGGCTGCGTTCATACTTTGCGAAGGCGTCCACCTAGCTCCAGCAATTGAGGGTATGAGGAAGTAGAAGGGTAGCAGGCTGCTAGTAGAAGTAGGAGGGAGCAGATAGGTGGATTAGGCGTCGGAGCGTGGCGTTCCACTGCACATCACCGTAAATTCCACAACTCTGTGCTTTAGCAGTTGTACGCCCGCGGTTTGCAATTTCACGGACGCCATCCCTAGTCCAGGGCGCGCTCCACTCCCATTTCCATAAACTTCCATAACAGCACTCTGCAACGCCTGCCAACTTTCCCACCACACTACCCACTGCATGACGCTGGTGTATCGCTGGGCGTTCGCTTTATCGAAATCCACTTTTTCTTAGTCGCCGGCGCTGAAGTACGCTCAAAACGCTGAGGTTCGAGGTGGACGCTGCCGTAAAGTATGAAAGCAGTTTCTACAGTCTACAAGGATGCAGCTTCATGAAAGTTTAGATACAAGTTAACCGCACTCGTAACAATAACCCAAAACCAGGAGGCCTCAGCAAAAATCATACAACATCTTTTTTCTGAATCAACTCTTCGGAATCAAATCCAGGTTTTTTGAATTTCTGGGCACTAAAATTTCTGAGCTCCCCGAATATCACCGTATTACACAAGTATTAACATTTTGGACCATGTTGGCCTAATGCTCAATTCCTCTCACGGACATGTAACGTTTTGGTTTAGACGCGAGAAGAACAAGATGAGAAATCAGATGACGCAACTGAAAAAGAGAACAAAAAGCATGATGAAAAAACAAAGAGGGACAAATCGCACGATGACGAAGAAACAAAGAGAGACAAAACAAAGGAGCGAGATGGTGATAAACATCAATCAAGGAGTTCAAGGGAAAGGAGAAGAAGTAGCGAACGTGAGCGATCGCACAAACGCGAGGTATGTTTTATGCTTTTTTCAGTCTCCACTCTTGTAGCCATCAAAGGAATGGTGGGTATTTTCGTCGACCCTCCTTACTGAAGAGCTTGGGGTTGGCGAGACAATGATGATCTGTCTAATTTCAAGGGAACAAGCGAAACGGGTCATCTCTGCTTTGAAATGTTTTCCTTTTCCAATATTTTGTTTTTTTTTCTTCTTCTAATAGGCGGTATATTAGGTCATCTCACTCAAAAAATAGAGCTATTGAGTCAGGGCGGGGAAAAGAGCGAGGGCTGTGAACTTCTTTAATGTTTAGATGAAGGTCATTTGGCCGTGTAATCGTCAGACTTGGCCTACATGAGAATAGATGCTCGAGAAACTGAAAGGAAACATGAGTGGCTAAGATCAGCGCCAATTACAAAATCTTGCGTTGTACGAGTTCTACGAACAACTTGAACTCAATCCCTTTAAACGCGTCGATCTTCTGTTTTTCTCTGCACTCTCTCGTCCGCATGGCACTCTGTGGTTGTTGTGACTTCGCACATTCCAGCTTTTCACGGATTGTAAGTGGAACACCCACCAGTCCCCTTTCCCCTGAGAAGCTCGATTCATGGCTCGGTACATATTTCTTGCGTTTCCGATGCTTTG